GATCTTCATCTTCTTTGGCTTCTCGTGCAAGCCTGAGCCCAGCAACCTGGTTAAACAACACTGTGGCAGACTCGATCATGGAATATGAATGGCCATAATGGGTATGTCATTGTTTATAACTACAATATAACTATAACATACAATAACATACTATAACATATCATAGCATACTATAACAATCATTCTTACTAATTAATGACTTCCCCTGAATTCATATAGATACATGATGATACATGAAACAACACCCATATATCAACCATGGTTATTTTGGGGATGAAATCACATCTTTGGGACCATTCACCATCATTCACCATGGGGGTGTCGTCCCCTGATCCCCTTGGTCATCAGACACATTGCGTCTGGAATAGTCTCTCTCTTCGTAGACGCTGGGAGGAGGGGCCTAGGTGAAACACAAACACAGTGGCTATGCCGCTATGCTGATGATCATGCTTAAATTACTCGAGTTTTCAGACAGATCTGATTATGCACCCTCTGGTAATTTAACATAGCTATTGAAAATGGCAATTTATAGTGGGTTTACCCATTGAACATGGTGATTTTCCATATAGTTATGTTAGTTTACCAGAGGGTATATCTTTTTTTGTGGGGAGAAAGATGACAAGACTTGTGACAAAACTTCAAAAATCCGAGAGGTTGTACGTTGTCCAAGGCAAGAACCATCTTATGTGGGCAGCGTTTCTGAAGGTTTGACAAGCGAGACATTGAAATTTCACCATGAACCGGGTAGACAAGAGCGTAAAAAGGTCGACCTGGTTGCTCTACCTGGTTACTACCCATAGATCAAAATGGTATCCATGCCATCTTGACCAATGATGTCATACTCATTCAAACTCCACATCACTCAAGTGAAGAACATCCGATCCCTAAGAAATTTAAGGACCGTGCATGGAGCCACTCCAAATGTTGAGGTGCTTCCTGCAGGATCCCCGAAACGGGTGACATCGCTTGATGGTCACTGCTTTCCAGTGGATGGGGCACCAGGGTGATTGGCTTCCCGCCTGCATCTCTTTCAACAGTGATTTCCGAATCAAAGGCCGGTCGTTGGCTTCATAGTTGCTGACCCTGGCTCCAACTTCCACTCTTGGGACACAGATAAACTGGTAAGAAAACTGGTACGCTCACCATGACACACCCCGAAAAGAACCTAAGAAAGGTGCCAGAAATCACCCGACTGCCGGTTTCGAAAATCTCGCTATATGAACAATTTCTGAGGCAAACGCTTTTTTGAAAACTGGTCTTTCCAACCGGATGTTTGCCCAAAAACATCAAAAAATCCACAGGGCGGTGGTGCTTGCTCCAGTGGATGCCCTTGAAGGAACTCACCTCTGCACCTTGGTTTTGGGATGGATCAAAGCCTACCAGTACCGGTCATGGAGGTTTCCTAAGTCATGGTACCCTCAAATCATCCAAGTCATTAGATGATTTTATAGTTTTGAAACCCATGGTGACTTGGGGATCCCCTATTTTAAGAAATCACTATATTTTGGACAGATGAGCCATGATGAGCCTCCAAAAAGCCCAGCTATGTGAGTATTCACCAGGGCATGGTTTTGACACTATCGATACCCAGGGGGTCGACACAGTGGTTGGAGGAGTCAAACTTGAGCCCTTTGAACAAAAATAAAAGGAAAGTATAGTTTAGCCACCAAACTGTTGCGAAGTGCCCATGGAAGGCCCAACATCCGTTCCGGGATGCGCACCTAAGATGTGTCCTCGTCGAAAATCTTGGTCTGCTACGGTGGATTCGGCCCTGGTAAGCAAAGCTCGATATCACATGGATATCACGGAAGGTTTGCTCATAGGGGTTCCCCTATTGGATTGCAATGATCAAGATGTCTTGCTTAGTATCATCCCAGGAGACACTTCTGGCACCTCCTTGCAGGGCCTACCTCGATGGCTTGGTTCTCAGGGCATTCTTGCCTCTGCGCCATGGCATGTGGAGGCTATTTGGCGGCCAACGGGGGCCGACGCACAAAAAAAACACATCATCATCATCATCATCGTCATCATCATCATCATCATCATTATAATCATCATCATCATCATCACCATCACCATCACCATCACCATCATCACCATCATCGTCATCATCATCATCATCATCATCCGGAAAAGTCACAGGTTGTTGCTCCACGAATCATGTTGCTGACAAGGGAAGAACTTAGAATCGCTCTGCCACTGCTTTAAGCTGGGGACTCCCTTTTCAGCCAGTTGATGCGGGCGAAAGGGCTGTCCTCGGCAACAGGTCCGTTCAGAAACCACTATGAGAATAGACCAAAAACATGATCATCAAAAAGCGCCATTCATGTGCTATCTTTTCATTTTTTCTTGTACCAAAACTATTGTGTCCTTGGTAGCAAGTTTGCAGTCCGTGCCACATGTTCCCATGCTGCCAACCCGCAGTTGAACCCTACAAGGTGATTCATCAAACATGAACCAAAGCGATAGCTATCAGCCTCATCTTACTAAAGTATAGATATGGGGGTTCCCAAAATAGAGGTATCCCCAGTCATCATCCATTTATAAATGGACTTTCCATGAGATAAACCATCCAGCGAGCTTGGAAGCGATAAAGGGGTACCCCCATGACTTAGGAAACCTCCATATCATGAACTCACCCAAACGATCTGTAAATCTGACATCAAAAATCCTTCATTTTGCCGACTCACTGAGAAACAAAGCACAGTGAATCATGTCAGTGACTCGACTCCCACATCGCTCTGGGGGACACTGACTCCACTTGGTCTTCGATTCTCGCTGTGAACAGTGAGATGCCCTGGTTCAACGTTTGAACATGAAGTTGTCTGTGAACATGATGGTTAACTGTGGCGGATAATCAGTGTTTAACATTGTTTAATCAACAACAAAATAAGGATTTCCCCCTGATCTATGGCTATTTCAATCGGATATCTCCTGGCAAAATATTTGATTGAATAGGGACTTAATGAGTATAGAAAATAATTCCCATAAGACTTTCTCTATGGGTCTGTCTAAAAATGGTATACGGTATACTTCTCAAATTTCAAATGGCCATCAAAAAAAATATGACCATATATATATATATATGAAATAATGATGATCAACCAGTAAAGGCCATTGGCTACCCAATTTTCAACAAGTCGCCACAAAGCCGCGGGGATTTCATCAACAAAGCATGATTTGACGACTCGTGGTGAAGTTGTTATAATTCACCCTTAAATATATCCAAAGATGTACAACTATGCGTATGTATTACTATATATATATACATAGTATAGACATGCTATAGTAACCCCCGAAAAAGATGCCGAAATGTATTGGGATAAAATAAATTTGATAATTTGATACCTATAAATATCTATCGGTTATTTCCAGCTATATTATATGTTCATAAATATCTATATGACTTTTAGAAACATCCTGGAAATACTACACATGTCTATGTTCTATCTATCTTATCTATCTACATAAACTCTAGGATGGCTAAATATCTATAGTATCTGCATATTCTAGTCTTTCTACTTATACATATCTATCTAAATATCTATAATATCGATGCTACTATTTTTACATAACTACATATCTTATTAGTATACATCTACATATAGTCTTTCTAAATATCTAATCATAGTATATACCATCTGGTTATTTAACATAGCCATGGAAAATCCCTTATAAATGGAGGTTTTAATGGAAAAATCATCTATAAATGGGCCATGGCTTCCATGGCTCTGTTAGTCATAACCAGAGGGTAGCATTTCCATGGCAAATGTTTCCCCGCCTTCACTGGGACGTCGCGACCAGGTGGCTTTTGCTAATGCACCTGGCATCATGGAGGAGGTCGGTTACCGATAGATATAGCAAAATATAGCCTCCAGTAAATTAAGACACTTCGACCCTGGCAGATAGGGCTTGGAAGATTAGTGAAACCACTCAAAAGTTGGTATTTTTGTAGGGTCGAACTGTTGATTTACCAGAGGGTATATATTCCATACAGGAAGGGTCCCCAGTTCGTTAGCTAAGTTGACGCAAATAACTAGGTTAACGTTTGGATCTATGGAGAATATAAATATAGTAATTGGTAAGACTATCTATTGGTATATATACTATGGACTATCTATACTTTGGTATATGGTATATTTAATAATATTATGAAAGTAGATATACCAAAATACCAGTTTTTCATAATACATGGAAGATATGAATCATAATTCTCTATGATGCATATTCCATAGTATAAGAGTTTAGGCCTATGGATTGATGACCACTACGGGGAAATGATATGAAATAACCGGACATTTTTTCGTATAATCAATGTTTTGACCAGGCACATTTGTTGACATGTATTCGGCAATGACCCACATAGATCCAGAGTAACTGCTAGTTGAAATCTTCCTGGTTGGCCTGGCTGCATCCAATCACAAGGGTGGCCTGATTCCTGACACCACAAGTCACGAACCTGAAAATAACTATTATCATACGGCCATTTGGGGATGATTACCCTTACTATAAAAACCATCACTGTAATTCATCCAGCGACTACAATAGCAATCATTATCATTGATATGACAACCATCATTACCAGCAAAACCATCACTATCATTGCTATACAACCACTAGTATGTATGATTATCATTACTAGTCGTGATATACTTCTCACATATACTATTTAATTATTATTATCATTACTAGTCTATATGATTATCTATAGTTACAACTAAATTGTTACATATTTAGTGAGATATCACTATTATTATTACCATTATTATTATTACCACTAGCATACAACTACTATCATTACCACTAGTATACTATGTAGTGATAATTAGTATATAAACCAAATTATAGTGATACTATAGTATATTACAACCACTCTTATTAATTGTGATACACTATACTACACTATACTATATATAAAACAATATAAAACATTAAAAAACTATACTATGCTATAACTATACTATATATAAAACCATCTTACTATTGTGATGCAAACCTCTGTGGTCACTTCCGAAGGATCACCGACGGTCGCCATTTTTCTCGCCTGCTGAGTGAGGCTTGACGGGCGCCCGGGGCCTCAGAAGCCGTTTACCCGAGGTTCATAAGTGGCACCATTTTATAGGGACACAATGGCATACTTGTATATTGTTGAAAATATATATATATGATATATAAAGATATGTATCTATATATATATGATATATATATATATTGAATTTTATATATACATATTATCGTAAATATGTATGTAGTATGTATACACATAGATAGATAGATAGATAGATAGATAGATTGATTGATAGATTGATTAGATAGGATAGGATAGGATAGGATAGGATAGAATAGGATAGGATAGGATAGGATAGGATGGTAGATAGATAGATAGATAGATAGATAGACAGATAGACAGATAGATAGATAGATAGGATAGATAGGATAGATAGGATAGATAGGATAGATAGGATAGATAGGATAGAGAGGATAGATAGGATAGATAGGATAGATAGGATAGATAGGGTAGATAGGATAGATAGGATAGATAGGATAGATAGGATAGATAGGATAGATAGGATAGATAGGATAGATAGGATAGATAGGATAGATAGGATAGATAGGATAGATAGGATAGGATAGAGATAGGATAGATAGGAGATAGGGATAGATAGATAGGATAGATAGGATAGATAGGATAGATAGGATAGATAGGATAGATAGGATAGATAGGATAGATAGGATAGATAGATAGATAGATAGATAGGATAGATAGGATAGATAGGATAGATAGGATAGATAGGATAGATAGGATAGATAGGATAGATAGGATAGATAGGATAGATAGGATAGATAGGATAGATAGGATAGATAGGATAGATAGGATAGATAGGATAGATAGGATAGATAGGATAGATAGGATAGATAGGATAGATAGATAGATAGATAGATAGATAGATAGATAGGATAGATAGGATAGATAGATAGATAGATAGGATAGAGATAGGATAGATAGGATAGATAGGATAGATAGGATAGATAGGATAGATAGAGGATAGATAGGATAGATAGGATAGATAGGATAGATAGGATAGATAGGATAGATAGGATAGATAGGATAGATAGGATAGATAGATAGGATAGATAGGCTAGATAGGCTAGATAGGCTAGATAGGCTAGATAGGCTAGATAGGATAGATAGGATAGATAGGATAGATAGGATAGATAGGATAGAGAGGATAGATAGTATAGGATAGATAGTATAGGATAGATAGGATAGATAGATAGGATAGATAGATAGGATAGATAGATAGGTAGATAGGATAGATAGGATAGATTAGATAGATTAGATCGATTAGATCGATTAGATAGATTAGATCGATTAGATAGATTAGATAGATTAGATAGACAAGATAGACAAGATAGACAAGATAGACAAGATAGACAAGATAGACAAGATAGACAAGTTAGACAAGTAGACAGATAGACAGATAGACAGATCGATAGATGGACGGATGGACGGATGGACGGATGGATAGATTAGATGGATAGAGAGATAGAGAGATAGATAGATAGATAGATAGGTAGGTAGATAGAATAGAATAGAATAGACTAGAATAGACTAGACTAGACTAGAATAGAATAGAATAGATTAGATTAGAATAGAATAGAATTAGATAAGATCAGATCAGATCACATCAGATAAGATAAGATAATATAAGATAAGATAGATAGATAGGTAGATCGATAGATAGATAGATGGTAGATAGGAAGATACACAATATTACGTATGTATGATGTATATATATATATATGCACAACCTGCGATAGTATGTGGGTGTGTCTGAAATTTTGGGGTTTTAACCATAGACCCCGAATCTATGGCCATCAAATTTTATGGGGATTATGATCAACCAGTGGATGGAATGGGGGATTCCCAATGTTCAATGATATTCAGGCAACACTAATATGGAGGAAAATACATGTGTATTTTTGAGCCATAGTGTTCATATGTGCCAGCGGATATCTCTTTCCACTCACATTTGGGGGATTTTCCGAATATGTATAAAATCGGGTCAAAGCTATCGCTACCAAATTGCCAAATGGATGGTTTAAAACTAAATGTAAGTTGACACGTTGGTGGCACATCACATGATATTTCACGGCGTTTATCAATCCGAAGCCAAGTTGGCATGGTGTCTTAAAATGAGCAAGTGGCAGTTCATTTCAAGTGGTTGCTGTGTGTTGACTTTCAACTTTTTTTAGCTATTTGGATGTTCAATCCAGTTGGTAATCTGGTACTAGCTATGCGTAAAAAATCAATGGAATTAGACATGTTGGGGACCTCTCCGACTAGGCTTATGACCAGCTGCTAACTGAAATGCGCATCTAAGCAGGGCTTTTGCTGTGAGTCTGCAACAAAATGACTTGATCCCCGCAGAACGTCATTCCATTTAATCCTGGTTGGTTGCGAACAGGATTCCCAGTTCATGGATGAGGGAATCCCATATTCCCTACTATATACAGGGCAGTAGAACCCCCAAATTCATCAATCAGCCATTGATCAGTTCCCCATAGATCTGCAGACCATGGAAGCCCGAAACTAAATTGATTGGTTTAAATCCCATAACAACCATCGTCAACTGGAGAAGGATAATATATTATCATGATTATCCCATGATGTTAGTAGAATGATGATTTCTAAATCCTTACCCCCTGGCAATTTAACAAAGCTATTGAAGCCATGGCCATTTAGTTCATTGACCTATAAAGACTGGTGATTGCCCATAGTTATGTTAGTTTACCAGAGGGTAAATCCCATAATGATCATAAATTGCGGCATGGGCACGCTCGAGGCACTGGCGGTGCCTGCCGAGTTTCAGCGCAATTCTATGATTAATTTCTCAAACATATACCTTGAAGTCATGATTTGCTGTTTTTTTTCATGATTAGTTGCTGTATGTTGTCAATCTTAAATTGAATATTGTACATCTATTGTCACTATTAAATCATGATATTTTATCATTCCTGGATAATTACTGCTATGATTATGTTGTCAATATTCAAACACCAATATGAGTAATACGAGCCCAAAACATCACTCAAATCTGCCGGTTGCGCCTTGCCATGCTCTGATTCCAGCATTCGGTCGCGCCTTGGTGTGTAACTCATTGCCTGAACCAAATTAATCAAAACGAAAACTGGATATTTGATGAGGTTTGATGTTTTTTCATCGATGTTAGATGAGCCCTCACCCAGCCCTCCCAGGGAAGCCCCAACTTCGGCAGCAGCACATGGTTCAGCCTGGGAGGTGCCTCGTGATGGAAAAATCGGAAAATATGGGGAAAAACGACGGAAAAACCATGGGAAATCTATGGGAAAACACGATTTGAATTATCAAAAATATATGAAGATGTTTCGTTCGCTGGGAAATATATCGAAATATTTCTGGCGGATTTTCCAGGTTTGATGACACCGGAGAGTAGACTTTCTGATCGCCCCAATAAATGGAATGATGATGTATCATGATAGTATTGATATATATGAGAGCTATTACCCAAAAACTTCAAACTTGCTAGGGTGGTCTATTATTGCTTTACTAATATTATATGATATATATTGATATATCAGGACCAGGAGTATTTTCAGCCTTTCCACCAGCGAAATTTCGTGCGGCCTTCCCGAAGGACATGACGGCGAAAAACCGGCTGGTGTGGATGGGTTCTGTGGGCGAAATCGTTGGTCAATGCCTGGGGTGTTTTGCCCCACAATTCGGTTATAAAGAAAACATGAAAAAAACACTGCCTGAAATTCCGACTGCTGGGTATCTCAGTTCAGGTAAACGTGTGAAAAAAAAATCAGCGACTGATTTCCACCTGTCCAAAGCATCTTGAAGAAGGTGTTTAAGCAGGATGGCTGCCAATCTTGATCTATGGCTGTTGTTAGTGTCTCTGTATGGTATTATTCAAATTCATACAGTACATATAATATAAGTTTGCACATTATATATATATACATATATATATATATATATATATGCGTGTGTGCGTGTGTTTATATATATATATACACACGCATAGAGCGAGAGAGAGAGAGAGAAGCACTGATCTTACACATTTATATTAGATAGACGTGTCATATATATAATACTACATCTCTCTCTTGTGTTCATAGAATACATTGCATCTCTTAACGTGATTCTCCAACTTAGACTGATTGCAACCAGAACATCGTAGACCAGGGCATGGAGATGGGATGACACTGGGGGATCAACTCGGCCACAATGTGGCTCGATGACAATTCAGGCATGACAAGACATCAGCGAATTCATAGGAAACGCTATAACCATTGAAGAACACCACTTCAAGAAACAGACCAAATTGCCGACTGGTGAACTGGCAAGTGATCATTACTGCTATCTCAAGCTTGAACACAACAAAGTTCAACAAAGTACCTCTGATTTCAGCTTAACCGTGACTCCAATCACGTGAAGAGAAAAATCACTGATAATTAATATCGTAGATGAAACAGATTGAAACACAATCATCTCTTTCCAGAGCACACAAAGCTTGCAACAGCCGCGTGCGCATAAAAGAACCTCTTCTTTGCGGGAATTCATGCCACATCGTTTTGCAGTCTCATGCTGTTTCACGGCCAAGTTCCACTGCTAGTCTACACGGCTGTGCTGTTTCATAGGCAACTCAGGTCAGGATCATCTCGATTTGGTCTTTTAGATCCTGCGTAAACCGATCACAGCTCGCACAGAATCCGCATCTTTTGGGACCTGGAGGATATGCAAAAAAAACATATTCGTAATATAAGTATCTGTATAGTTATGTTTGTGTGTATGTATATGTATGTATATATATACGTATACATGTGTATATATATATACACTTTATGTATATACACAAAAATGTACCTACATTTATATACATAGAGAAACATATATATATGCACATATATATATGTACATACATATTTATATATTATACATATACATATACAAAAACATATACATATACATATACATATACATATAATATACATATACATATAATATACATATACATATACATATACATATACGTATACATATACATTTAAATATACATATACATATACGTACATGTATATACATATACGCAAATATCTATACATATACATATACATATATATATACATATATTTACATATGTATGTACGTAAATACATACATACATTACATACATTACATGCATTACATACTTACATACTTACATACTTACATGCTTGCATGCTTACATGCTCACATACTTACATACTTGCTTGCATACATACATACATACATACATATCTAATCAATTGTAATCAAATATGTATGCATAAGTATGTGTATGTGTTTGCATATATGTGTGTATATGTGTGTGTATGTGTACGTTCGTATGTGTATCTCTATCTGTATATGTATGTGCATGTGCATGTACTTGTGTGTATGTGTGCATGTGTGCATGTGTGCATGTGTGCATGTGTGTATGTGTGTGTGTATGTGATGTGACGTGACGTGACGTGACGTGACGTGATGTGATGTGATGTGATGCGGCGATGCAATGCAATGCAATGCAATGCAATACAACGCAACGCAATGCAATGCAATACAACGCAATGCAATGCAATGTAATGCACAGTACAGTATGTATCTATGTGTATAAGTATGTAATGTTGAGCTAGGATTAATAAAACCCCCAAATTAATCATACCCCTTTTCACCGGAAATTTTTGGGCAATACTAAAGTCCTCTACGTGCTGATTTCCCCCCCTAATAATGGAAAACCACCCCCGAATTAATCATACCCCTCCGGGATCCCCAAATTTTTGGTGGGACTAATTTGCTATTACTCCCTTTTACTTTTTAATTCGGGTTACAATTTCCAGGGTTACTTCCTATTTTGGTTTACCATAGGTATTCTTATCTTTTCTCACTGGAATCTGATGGTTGACCATTCATTTTCGAATCTTCCCTCATAGGAATTTGATGGTTTCTACGTGGTTTCCTCATCTTCCCTCAAAGGAATTTGATGGTTTACCAGAGGTTTTCTGATCATGTCTCATTGGAATTTTATGGTTTACCCTAGGTTTTCTTATCTTTTCTCATAGGAATCTCATGGTTTACCATTCATTTTCGAATCTTCCCTCATAGGAATTTGATGGTTTCTACGTGGTTTCCTCATCTTCCCTCAAAGGAATTTGATGGTTTACCAGAGGTTTTCTGATCATGTCTCATTGGAATTTTATGGTTTACCCTAGGTTTTCTTATCTTTTCTCATAGGAATCTCATGGTTTACCATTCATTTTCGAATCTTCCCTCATAGGAATTTGATGGTTTCTACGTGGTTTCCTCATCTTCCCTCAAAGGATTTTGATGGTTAACCATAGGTTTTCTCATCTTTTCTCATAGGAATCTGATGGTTTACCATAGGTTTTCTCATCTTTTCTCATAGGAATCTCATAGTTTACCATTCATTTTCGAATCTTCCCTCATAGGAATCTGATGGTTTACCATAGGTTTGCTTATCTTTTCTCATAGGAATCTGATCTTTCCTCATCCACCTCGCAAGTATGCTCTTGCAACGTGGCACTTTTTTTACTACTGCTACTACTACTACTACTACTACTACTCCTCCTCCTGCTGCTGCTGCTTCTTCTACTGCTGTTACTACTGCTACTACTACTACTACTACTACTACTGCTACTACTGCTACTGCTACTGCTACTACTGCTACTGCTACTGCTACTGCTGCTGCTGCTACTGCTACTACGGCTACTACTTCTACGACGACGACGACGACGTAATTTGATATGCACATATACAAGTGGATCCGGATAAGCCACAACCCAAAAAAAAGAGGGCATCTTGAAGGCACCCTCTATCAGTGCAAGGGCTGTGCTTTCAGGGGGTCGAAGCCGCACTATTGCCAAACACACTGGTTTCAGAGGTTTTTTGTGGGTTGGCTCATCACGTTGGGAAGAGGTGACTCTCTTTCATTGCAAGAGCTGTCCTTTCATTAGGTCGAAGCCGCACTATTGCCAGCACACTGGTTTCAGAGGTTTTTTGTGGGTTGGCTCATCATGTTGGGAAGAGGTGTCTCTCTTTCATTGCAAGAGCTGTGCTTTCATTAGGTCGAAGCCGCGCTAGTGCCAAACACACTGGTTTCAGAGGTTTTTTGGCTCATGATGATGGGAAAAGTTGATTTTTTATCGTTGCAAGAGCCTTTCGTGAGCTGGAGGCGACTACCAAAGGGTTGGGGAGGGTTATTTGGGGGGGTTTTATTAATTCGGGGGGTTGTTTGGGGGTTTGGCTGCGGGTTTGGTTGGGGGGTTAGGGGGGTGTTGCGCATTGTGTTTTTGATTCCGGCAAACCCCTTCCAGGCCCAGTCAGTGGTTCTATAAAGCCATTTTTTGCCATTTAGGGCAAGCCCCCATGGCATGGTGGTATTGAATAGGCTTTGGGCCGATGGACCCAGGTTCGATTCCCGGCGGGTGCGTCTTGCAGCCCGGGGGTGGCACACAGCGGCTTAGATTCCCGGAGGGGGCGTCTTGCAGCCCGGGGGTGGCACACAGCGGCTTAGATTCCCGGAGGGTGCGTCTTGCAGCCCGGGGGTGGCACACAGCTGGCTTGAATGCTTGTGTGTTGTGCCTCTTTCTCTGCCAATGTCTTGCTGTTATGTTAGCTACCTTTGCCTGCTTCTGGACATTGCCTCTAATTACTTCCAGTGGCTTTCTTTCATTGCAAGAGCTGTGCTTTCCGTACGTCGAAGCCGCACTATTGCCAGCACACTGGTTTCAGAGGTTTTTTGTGGGTTGGCTCATCATGCTGGGAAGAGGTGACTCTCTTTCATTGCAAGAGCTGTGCTTTCACTAGGTCGAAGCCGCGCTAATGCCAAACACACTGGTTTCAGAGGTTTTTTGTGCGTTGGCTCATCACGTTGGGAAGAGGTGACTCTCTTTCATTGCAAGAGCTGTGCTTTCATTAGGTCGAAGCCGCGCTATTGCCAAACACACTGGTTTCAGAGGTTTCTTGTGGGTTGGCTCATCATGTTGGGAAGAGGTGACTCTCTTTCATTGCAAGAGCTGTGCTTTCAGTAGGTCGAGCCGCACTATTGCCAAACAGACTGGTTTCAGATGTTTTTTGTGAAGTTGCCATCAATTGGGCAATTAATTATTCAACAACTACATCAACATTGCCTGATCTTTCCTCATCCACCTCGCAAGTATAATATACGTTTGCAATGTGGCAGTTTCAAGACGCCAAAACTGGAAAAAAAACACATCCCCCAAATGATCGATTTCTAATTAGAATCTAATTAAAAAATGCTGTTTTTGGGAGCTCAGAAAGGCTACCCTCCTTGAGCGGTGTCCCCCCCACAAATAAAAGGACGCCCCCCCAATTAGTAAACCCCAGCCAGCCGCGATGAGTTTTTTATATGCGTGCTTCAGACTGCAATCAATTAAGCAATGAATTGATTCAACAACTACATCAACATTGCCTGATCTTTCCTCATCCACCTCGCAAATATATGTTTGCAATGTGGCAATTTCAAGACGCCAAAACTAGAAAATAAAACGCATCCCCCAAATGATCGATTTCTAATTAAAATCTAATTAAAAAATGCTGTTTTTGGGAGCTCAGAAAGGCTACCCCCCTTGAGCGGTGTCCCCCCCACAAATAAAAGGACGCCCCCCCCAATTAGTAAACCCCAGCCAGCCGCGATGAGTTTCCTATATACGTGCTTCAGATTGCAATCAATTAAGCAATGAATTAGTTCAACAACTATATCAACATTGCCTGATCTTTCCTCATCCACCTCGCAAGTATAATATACGTTTGCAATGTGCCAGTTTCAAGACGCCAAAACTGGAAAATAAAACACATCCCCCAAATGATCGATTTCTAATTAAAATCTAATTAAAAAATGCTGTTTTTGGGAGCTCAGAAAGGCTACCCCCCTTGAGCGGTGTCCCCCCCACAAATAAAAGGACGCCCCCCCCAATTAGTAAACCCCAGCCAGCCGCGATGACTTTTTTATATGCGTGCTTCAGATTGCAATCAATTAAGCAATGAATTGATTCAACAACTACATCAACATTGCCTGATCTTTCCTCATCCACCTCGCAAGTACAATATACGTTTGCAATGTGGCAATTTCAAGACGCCAAAACTGGAAAAAAAAAACGCATCCCCCAAATGATCGATTTCTAATTAAAATCTAATTAAAAAATGCTGTTTTTGGGAGCTCAGAAAGGCTACCCCCCTTGAGCGGTGTCCCCCCCACAAATAAAAGGACGCCCCCCCGAATTAGTAAACCCCAGCCAGCCGCGATGACTTTTTTATATGCGTGCTTCAGACTGCAATCAATTCAGCAATGAATTAGTTCAACAACTATATCAACATTGCCTGATGTTTCCTCATCCACCTCGCAAGTATAATATACTTTTGCAATGTGCCAGTTTCAAGACGCCAAAACTGGAAAAAAAAACGCATCCCCAAATGATCGATTTCTAATTAAAATCTAATTAAAAAATGCTGTTTCTGGGAGCTCAGAAAGGCTACCACCCTTGAGCGGTGTCCCCCCCACAAATAAAAGGACGCCCCCCCCAATTAGTAAACCCCAGCCAGCCGCGATGAGTTTTTTATATGCGTGCTTCAGACTGCAATCAATTAAGCAATGAATTAGTTCAACAACTACATATATCAACATTGCCTGATCTTTCCTCATCCACTTCGCAAATATGTTTTTCCAATGTGGCACTTTTTACTACTGCTACTACTACTGCTGCTAATACTACTGCTAATACTACTGCTACTACTACTACTACTGCTACTACTACCACTATCACTACTGCTGCTGCTACTTTTTCTGCTACTACTGCTACTACTGCTACTTCTTCCTCTTCTACTACTACTAATACTACTAATACTACTCATACTACTAAAACTACTAATAATTACTACTAATACTACAAAGTATTACAAAGTATTACAAAGTACTACAACAACAACTACTACTACTGCTACTACTACTACTGCTGCTACTACTACTACTACAACTATAACTACAACTACAACTACTACAACGACGACGTAATTTGATAGAAGGCACCCTCTATCAGTGCAAGGGCTGTGCTTTCAGTAGGTCGAAACCGCACTATTGCCAAACACACTGGTTTCAGAAGTTGTGGGTTGGCTCATCATGTTGGGAAGAGGTGGCCCTCTGTCATTGCAAGAGCTGTGCTTTCAGTATCGAAGCCGCGCTATTGCCAAACACACTGGTTTCAGAGGTTTTTTGTGGGTTGGCTCATCATGTTGGGAAGAGGTGGCCCTCTGTCATTGCAAGAGCTGTGCTTTCAGTATCGAAGCCGCGCTATTGCCAAACACACTGGTTTCAGAGGTTTTTTGTGGGTTGGCTCATCATGTTGGGAAGAGGTGGCTTTCTTTCATTGCAATAGCTGTGCTTTCATTAGGTCGAAGCCACGCTATTGCCAAACACACTGGTTTCAGAGGTTTTTTGTGGGTTGGCTCATCATGTTAGGAAGCGGTGTCTCTCTTTCATTGCAAAAGCTGCGCTTTCAGTAGGTTGAAGCCGCACTATTGCCAAACACCTTGGTTTCAGAGGTTTTTTGTATCATGATGATGGGAAAAAGTGACTTTTTATCGTTGCAAGAGCCTTTCGTGAGCTGGAGGCCACTACCAAAGGGTTGGGGAGGGTTATTTGGGGGGGTTTCATTAATTGGGGGGTTGTTTGGGGGTTTGGCTGCGGGTTTGGTTGGGGGGTTAGGGGGGTGTTGCGCATTGTGTTTTTGATTCCGGCAAACCCCTTCCAGGCCCAGTCAGTGGTTCTATAAAGCCATTTTTTGCCATTTAGGGCAAGCCCCCATGGCATAGTGGTATTGAATAGGCTGTGGGCCGATGGACCCAGGTTCGATTCCCGGCGGGTGCGTCTTGCAGCCCGGGGGTGGCACACAGCGGCTTAGATTCCCGGAGGGTGCGTCTTGCAGCCCGGGGGTGGCACACAGCGGCTTAGATTCCCGGAGGGTGCGTCTTGCAGCCCGGGGGTGGCACACAGCTGGCTTGAATGCTTGTGTGTTGTGCGTCTTTCTCTGCCAATGTCTTGCTGTTATGTTAGCTACCTTTGCCTGCTTCTGGACATTGCCTCTAATTACTTCACGGTGGCTTTCTTTCATTGCCAGAGTTGTGCTTTCCGTACGTCGAAGCCGCACTATTGCCAGCACACTGGTTTCAGAAGTTTTTTGTGGGTTGGCTCATCATGTTGGGAAGAGGTGACTCTCTTTCATTGCAAGAGCTGTGCTTTCATTAGGTCGAAGCCGCGCTAATGCCAAACACACTGGTTTCAGAGGTTTTTTGTGGGTTGGCTCATCATGTTGGGAAGAGGTGACTCTCTTTCATTGCAAGAGCTGTGCTTTCAGCAGGTCGAAGCCGCACTATTGCCAAACACACTGGTTTCAGAGGTTTTTTGTGGGTTGGCTCATCATGTTGGGAAGAGGTGACTCTCTTTCATTGCAAGAGCTGTGCTTTCATTAGGTCGAAGCCGCGCTATTGCCAAACACATTGGTTTCAGAGGTTTTTTGTGGGTTGGCTCATCATGTTGGGAAGCGGTGTCTCTCTGTCATTCCCTCATGGGATTCTGATGGTTTACCATTTAATTTCTATTCTTTCTCCAAAGGAACCTTATGGTTTACCAAGGGTTTTCTTTTTTCTCCATAGGACCCTGATAGTTTTCCACTAGTTGTCTAACCTTTTCCCATAGGAATCTGATGGTTTCTGCGTGGTTTCCTCACGTTCCCTCATAGGAATCTGATGGTTTACCATAGGTTTTCTCCTCTTTTCTCATAGGAATCTGATGGTTTACCATAGGTTTTCTCATCTTTTCTCATAGGAATTTGATGGTTTACCACTAATTTTCAAATCTTTCCATAGGAATTTGATGCTTTACCATAGGTTCTCTTATCTTTTCTCATAGGAATCTGATGGTATTACATATGTTTCCTCATCTTTTCTCATGGGAATCCCATGGTTTACCATAGGTTTTCTCATCTTTTCTCATAGGAATCTGATGGTTTACCATAGGTTTTCCCATCTTTTCTCATAGGAATTTGATGGTTTACCACTAATTTTCTAATCTTTCCATAGGAATTTGATGCTTTACCATAGGTTCTCTTATCTTTTCTCATAGGAATCTGATGGTATTACATATGTTTCCTCATCTTTTCTCATGGGAATCCCATGGTTTACCATAGGTTTTCTCATCTTTTCCCATAGGAATCTGATGGTTTACCATAGGTTTTCTCATCTTTTCTCATAGGAATCTGATGGTTTACCATAGGTTTTCTTACCTTTTCTCATCGGAATCTGATGGTTTACCATAGGTTTTCTCATCTTTTCTCATAGGAATCTGATGGTTTACCATAGGTTTTCTCATCTTTTCTCATAGGAATCTGATAGTTTATCATAGGTTTTCTCATCTTTTCTCTTAGGAATCTGATGGTTTACGATAGGTTTTCTCATGTTTTCTCAAAGGAATCTGATGGTTTATCATAGGTTTTCTCATCTTTTCTCATAGGAATCTGATGGTTTATCATAGGTTTTCTCATCTTTTCTCATAGGAATCTGATGGTTTATCATAGGTTTTCTCATCTTTTCCCATAGGAATCTTATGGTTTATCATAGGTTTTCTCATCTTTTCTCATAGGAATCTGATGGTTTATCATAGGTTTTCTCATCTTTTCTCATAGGAATCTGATGGTTTATCATAGGTTTTCTCATCTTTTCTCATAGGAATCTGATGGTTTATCATAGGTTTTCTCATCTTTTCTCATAGGAATCTGATGGTTTATCATAGGTTTTCTCATCTTTTCTCATAGGAATCTGATGGTTTATCATAGATTTTCTCATCTTTTCTTATAGGAATCTGATGGTTTATCATAGATTTTCTCATCTTTTCTCATAGGAATCTGATGGTTTATCATTGGTTTTCCCATCTTTTCCCATAGGAATCTTATAATAATCGTTTATGGATGAATGAATGGTCACATTATTTGGGGGGTTCGGTTTTTGGACCTCCTCACTGGACCTTGTTGACCTAGTTGACCTATAGGGGGGGGGTTTATTAATCCGGGGTCAACATTACATATATTGTAGATCAACGCTTGTTCTTTCAAAGTATTCTATGACCCCATCCCGCACCCGAAGTCGCCAAGCCATTCATAGTTTGATGGCTCCTGAATCTGCGTATTGAGCTGAGAACCTTCTTTGGAGGTAATGGAGCACGAGATCACCGGCCTCAGCACAGGGATACTCTCACTCAAACATGGTTTGCTGAAGCGAGAAACTCATTTAATAGGTACCCTAGGTACCCGGAAAAATAGCTGGTTAATGGATGTGTATTCCCCAAAATACGGTAATTTTTCATGGGTTACACTTGACCCATCCCCGATTTTCGGGATTTCCCCGCCTCGACACACCACAGGCGCGCCCCAGCGCAGTCTTCGACTTCACGAAGACGTAGGGCACGTTCTTGTCTTCACAAACTAGGGGCCTTAGCCATCGATGGGTGAAATTGGTGAAATCCCCATGTCTTTCGAATGAAGATCTCATATGGTATGGTATGGTAGGTATGTACTGTATCTAGATATATTTACTGTAGATAATTTTAGATGTATAATGATATATACATGTATGTATACTTGTGCATAATTATTCACATTCATATCTATGATACATATATATACATATATATACATATATACATATGTATAATTATACATATATCATGATCCATCCAACGAATTGAAGCATAGAAATCACCACCCCCTCCATTTCCATCCCATCTTCGTTTTCCCACCCAGTGACAAGTGCAGTAAGATCTCCAGCGGCTCAGCATCCGCGGCCAAAATCACCAGCTCCGCGGTGCCTCGATTCAGCGTCTTCGTGGCCTCGTTGGCGCCTTTCTTCAGCTGCTTATAATTCGCCGACTGCTGCCTGGTTGGAGCTTAAAAGAACTGGTCAAATGGAGCTTTGAATGGGAAAACCATAGGAAAACCATAGGAAAACCATAGGAAAATGGAGGGATACCCGGCCTGGTATATACGTTTACGTAACGAACTGGAAAGATACCCACCATGCTATTGATTAGGGTAAATCCACTAGTTCAATGGCCATGTTCAATAGCTTTTTGTATGTTTACCAGAGGGTACGGAACAATGGCGGTTACATGCGAAAAGTGCGATGAAAAGCTTGGAATCTATGAATCAGCAGAGTTGAGATCTATAAGCTGAGGACTGGCGCAGGGTTGGGGAACTGGGAGAGTTGGGAATTTCTGACTCCAAAAATGGGGAACAAACCTATGGAACAACCTGGAGCTGAAAATGGGAAAAGTGAGATGAAGAGTTTGAATCTAAAAATCCGGAGAGTTGACATCTATGTCATATGTGGCTATGTCTGAAAAAATGAAGAAGACCCTCGCTTTATGACCACTTTGAGAGGAAAATTAGATTATAAACCATCCAATTTGGTTGTACCCCTACTTTCAGACAAACCCAGATTGGGCTGAGTGTTTTTTTTTCTTGGCGTGCCAAATAAAGATCTCTGTTAAAATGGAGATTGAACTGATTGAAATATATGAGATACCCTCTGGTAATTTAACATAGCTATTGAAAATGTCCATTTATAGTGGATTTTCCCATTAAAAATGGTGATTTTCCATAGTTATGTTAGTTTACCAGAGGGTATGACACATGCGATGTGTAAAGAACACTATGATATCCCTCATTGAAGATCTCGGGCGGCAGATCTGGGGAGGGTCGACCTGTGCCAAATGATGTCGCATTGCTAACCATTAAATGTTAAATATGCAATATGTATATTCATATACATATATAATTGTGTACTGTATATATATATATGTGTGTTATTTACATATGAATATGTTATTTACATATGAAACTCACTGGTGTGTATATTTATTTATATATATATATAAGGATGGATGGTTGGCAAAGCACCGGAAATCACCGACGAGTTGGTGATTTCTGCCGAGCCGCACTAAATCCAAGATTGTGACTGTCAGGGCTTCCTTGCCACGGCGTGTTTTCGCCGTGTCGTTTTGAAGGCCAAAAAAAACACCCTCTTGCAGGACTGGCCAAGGTGGGGAAAGCTGTTCAACCGGAAAGTTAAGGATGATTATTGTTTTTCCATGATATCTTTGCGTAGAGGGTACTGAAATTTTCACCACTCATGGGCAATGTCGCAAGCTTATTTTCGTGATGGTAACAATGCAATCCCAGTGCCAACACATTCTCCACATGAAGATCTTGGGATATCAGAAATATAATTACAAAGCAACATACTTTGGCAACACAAGCTGCATACCTCAGCACCCAGAACACTCCCAGCCTTGGCCAAAGGGTAAGCCTGGCCATTCGCTGAAGAGAAATCGTATCAAGAATTCTGATTTGTTTGATACACCTTCGTTACCCAATGGAAATCAAACAAATTTAGTTCGATGATTTTCCCATTCAAAACTTCCATTTACTTCGGGGCTTTCCCATTGCTATGTTTGACCGGAAAGGAAAGAATCGAGGTCCCGGTCCGGCCTTGGGGTTTACCTCTTCCTCCTCCGCCATTGGCCCAACTTCTCTGTGATACGCGGGTGCTGTACAAATCAGCCAAATGTCTGCAGGGGGTGAACTCCACTTCAGAAACCAGGGAAACCTAGAAGTCGGATCAACTTGCAATTCATTGAAAACTGAATATGGAATACAATAATCCCTGAAGCAATGTAAAATCGGGTGAAATGTGAAATCACCCCGACTCCGGCCATCCTGCAGTCTGCCTGTTTCTGAGGACTCGGTTTGCTCCAGCTTTTGGTCTTGCGACGACGGAGCTTTCTAAGATAAGCCTCGATCGGGAATCCTTTGCCAAGGGGCCCAAACTCCTATGGTGAAACTTCTGCAGTGACAGAAGGGCGGGCCAGAAACATACCGGACTTAGGTGACTTAGGGATTATATCCCAAGTTGTGAGTTTCATTACCATAGTTTAGCCATCAAGAACCCCAACTGCACACCCAGTGTGCGACTTGCCAAGACATGCCAGCTGCAACTCAAATTCAGTGCTGTCTATTGGATCAACTGGGGCAGCTGTCAGCGGATCGTTTTTACGTCACCCCGGATGGCCAGAGGGATTTTCCACTGCAGTGCCATCCGTCACGAGCAAAAAGTGCAGCAGGGTCAAGGAGCACAAAATCATTTCCATAGTACTTAACCCAACTTGGACTGCATTGAATGTGGATTTTTACCCACGAAATTTCGCGGTGCCGCGCTCCACATCCTCTGACCTTTCGTGCTCTCATCGGCTCTCATCGGCGACCTGCTATGGCACCCATCGATCCTTGATCGTGCAGGTGATGCTTTCAGGACAGAGGCAGGCAAAAACACGCCTTGATTCGCCTTGAGGATACTATGCATGTGTATTGCCACCTGTATCATTCTGTATCTATAGTCATTGACATGTATCATGTATCATGACATCTAGTATTTAGATGTATATATATATATTATGTGTGATTATGTGATTATGTGTGTGTGTGTGGTATTACACAACCTACATATAGCCTATATAACATGGAGGTGTCCTGTCCGTCATGGGGGATACCCATCGCCGAGCATCGTCCCCTAGGGCGACCTGGACCCGGTAAGCGCACCGCAGCTGGGGCCTGGTGAGTCGGGTAGTTTACTCGCGGCTCGTCCACCACCGGTGTTTTATAACAGTGATACCCGGCCTGGTAAACATACAAAAAGCTATTGAAAATGGCCATTTATAGTGGATTTTCCCATTAAAAATGGTGAACTAACATAACTATGGAAAACTAACATAACTATGGAAAATCACCATGTTTAATGGGAAACTCCACTATAAATGGTGATTTTCCATGGCTATGTTAAATTACCAGAGGGTAACTCGTAAAACTATAGGATTTATGCTGATAGCAAATGTTTTGAACACTACTTGGAAGTGCAGTTAAAAGGTGAACTAAGTGGAGATAGTTCATGTATGTCACAATAGTTATAGGGGTTATATACCACTTTATCGGCATTTATAACCATGGCTATACCCTTTTGTAGCCTCAACTGCACCCAAAGTAGGGTTTACCCCAGTCATAAGTGCGAGTTTTTCCGGCCCTGGGGTGAACTAACCCACATAAGGTGGCCATTAAATAGGCTTTAAACGGTGGTGTTTTGTGCGGCGATGGAAACATCCCGGCAATCCCAGGCGGGCCGCTTGGGAGGACCCATAATGGCGGGCGGTTGATCTTTTTGGGACCATCAAAAACTAGCGGGTGTAACCCCTTTTTTTTTATCAGCTAGAGTCTTGTCAATCCCGGGTTGACTCACTATGTGTATCAACATAAAAAACAACAACATGTCTACATATATGGTGTATATATATATATATAAATGTATATATCTTTCAGTTTCTCACTGTTGTATTGATTGGCTTCCCAAGCAGAAGGGTGCGAAGCACCTCAAATCACCGCAACTCATCCCATTTGGTCCCTCTGGCTTCAGCCCAAAATCCTCATGCCACAAGTGTCTTAAAAAATTATCATAAGAATTTTCAGTAGACTTGGGGGTGCAGTTGGGATTATAAATTGATAAATTGATAAATTGGTGATAATGGGTGTGTAATCAATATATCACCAATATATGAGCCATGGTCAATACTCACTATATGGTTGATGGTCATCCCATCCACAATAAGGATCCTTATAATGGTTATTATAAATCCCTATGAACCATTGGATGACTAGCCCCTATGAATGGTTATTAACCATGAGTATTGACCATAGCTCATATAACCATAGTTGCCATAGTTGTACAAAACCCCCCAACTTCACAAGAGGTCCAAGGTCAACTGCCAAGTTGCCGTGTTACCATGCACCCGCAATGCACGTGCAGCTTGCGCGGCGGAAATATGGGATGCTGCCAGCACTCGAGCGCCTGCTACCTGGGGATTTCAGGTCAATCTATCGTTATCTCCTCATTGTGCATTATCTATATGGCTTAATAATGGTGGGGTAATATGAGGGGATTTTTCAATAGTACGGGGATAGTAAATGAATCCAGATGATCGAAAACATATCCCCATAATATGCCACAATATCCCCATTCTGCCAGCCTGTCTGCTGGTGTCGGGCAATATTGTTTTTTGATTTGTTTCAGAAGGAAAAAGACTCTCTCAATAAATACAAGCTATCACACACTGCTCCCTTCTAACCAAACTGGAATAAATTAGGATGCTCTCCGGTGCCAACAAACATCGATAGCTGGGAAACGCCCGAACTCACTGAAGGTTTCAATGGGAAAATCATCTATAAGTGGTGGATTTTCAGTTACCATGTTTGATTACCGGAGGGTAAGGAAAACATAGAAAAATATGCAGAAATACACCCAGCGTGTATGAGAAAACTCTGCATTATTCTATATATATATATACACACATCAAAGAAAGAGAAGAGTAGTGCGAAAGCAGGCAATGGAACTTAATCAACATTTTCATACATTTCCCTAATTCTTCATAGTTCTTCCCAATTTTTTTTCAGACAAAAAATCCTTCGTTTCCACCAGCTCCACTTCCAAGCCACTCTTGGTTGATTTCGCGGGGGTGGAGGCGGCGGGTCCTGAAAAAGTGGTGAGTCATGGGGCCTCACCATGGGGGTGTCCAGAATGGTTAGCCATTAGTGGTGAAATATTAAGTGGTTAACAATGGTTGACTTCATAACTATTAGTTCACCAAGAAAACTTGGGATTACCGAATTACCAACGATAATGGTGATTTTTTAAATGGATTATATATACATATATATATATATCCAACAAGTATATGACCATTGTATGAATGCATCTGCAAACCGGGGATTAAACTCCCCATAAATGGCTCATAGTGAGAAAATGAGGATTGACCAAAGGATTTAGGGTACACTATTTTCAGACAAAGGCTCATGACTTGTGACAGGAAATCCTCAACTGAGACTGAACAAGAAATAGACATAAAGAATGACTAAGCATGTTTTTGACATGGGATACCCTCTGGTAATGACTAACAGTTCGCTATTGAAAAAATGGCCCATGGCCATCATTCGCCAGTTGATTGACCTATTATTTTCGGATGGTGGATCTTTCCAGTTCGCAAACTCTTAGTTCGTTTACCAGGCCGGGTAAATCACCATTCATCATGAAATCCCCGAGACATCCCAAGACAGCCGACCTCATCTGCAGCTCCACCCTGGCGATCAACCTGGGCTGCAGCAACGGATTTTGTGACTGTAGATCCACCAAGGGGTGGTTGCAGTTTCAACTCATCCCAATATGTATATATATATATATATTTACAGATATACATAGATATGTAAGAAGTATACACTTTCAATGCATCGCAAATATATGTGAGTAACCATTATATACACATTATACAATACATATATATATATATAATTTTATCATGAAACCATGCCCGGTCGGCTTTTCCAAGGCCCGAAGACCTCTAAGGAGCTACTTCGCGGCACACCCCGCATGGCAGAACCTGGTCACGCTGGCGATGCCATGGGATGTGCCATGGGATGTGCTATTTTCGAGATGTGCGAAAGGGACATCCAAAATTCATATCTTGTTTTGAGGGGTCAGATACGGTCAGTTTGAGCAGGTTTTTGTGTCACTTAGATACTTTGGTATACAACTCATCTGATTCTACATATTAACATGTTGGTTAACATTATTATTATTCTTATTACTATTATTATTAATAAAATACTCACAATAATAACGTTATCATATTTATGTAGCAGATACTCCCAATATTATGACAACATACTCACAATAGTGTTATCTACATATTATCATCAACATGTGTGTTATCAATAATATTTATGACATGTTGCATGAAATTTACTCAGCACCCACGACCATCCACAGCCATCCTCGCCTGTGGGTTCAGATTTCTGCTCCTGCTTGAGGATGGCAATGCACGCCTTGGATCGGGATCCCTAGGCTTCTCCATTGGAACCACGGCCCAGAGACCTGATACATGATTTCCATACGGATCTTTGTATATATAACATAAGATATATCTATGCACATATATATATACATATGTATATAGATATATATATATATGTACATATGCATGTATGTATATATATACACATGTATATACATGTATCTCTATATATACATGTACATATACATATGTAAATATATATATATATTGTATATATACATATACATACGTATATGTAAACATATACATACGTGTATATAAATTAAAATACATATGTATATATATATATATACGTATGTATATGTACATATATATATATATGTGTATGTGTACATATATATATATACATATGTATGTGTATATATTCTATATGTATTTGTACAAGTTTTATGTAACTTCCATGCCTTCGATATCTCGACTATCTTAGATACCTTAGAATCTCGGATATCATATGTAGTACCATATGTATCTAGCATGCTTCTAGAAAGCAAATCTTCGCATCAATCATGACCATTTGGTGAAACCCCCCAGTTTTGACCATATCCAATATCCCATGACGGATCCATGGTGCTGCTATATATGGTAACATGGATCCCATCCATATACCCCAGTCATGTTAGCATTAATATACCAGCACCATGGATCCGTAATGGGTATGAATATCATTTCATATCCATGAAAATCATCCAATGGTGATTCATCATTATCCAATATGATAACCAACAATTGGATAATAATATCATAATATCCTATGGAAAATCATCCAATAGGTATATTATCCATTATCATTCAACAATATCCAACAATGATTTTTCCATTGATGATATCATACATATTATCATCCAAAAACGTTGGTTATCCATGCTGATCCATTGTCGATTCAAGGCACATCTGCAGCCTCCGGCGTCAAACCTCGCAGGGGATGTGTCTGCACCTCGCGGATCTCGATGAAAAAAATTGGCACAGATTTGGTGCAGATTTTATGTTCACAGCATTTGCAATGTGATACCCTCTGGTGATTTAATGGGATTTAATGGGAAAACCATAGGAAAATGGTGGTTTAATGGGATTTAATGGGAAAACCATAGGAAAATGGTGGTTTAATGGGATTTAATGGGATTTAATGGGATTTTATAGTGATTCAATGGGGTATTAATGGGATATACCCTCTGGTTATCTCAAAACAGCTATTGAAAATGGCCATTGAAATAGTGGATTTTCCCATGAAAAATGGTGGTTTTCCATAGTTATGTTAACGTTTACCAGAGGGTAAATGTTCTGGTATGCAGAAGATTAGAATCCAAAAGACTGATTCTAGAAATAAGATGTTAACAACTTCCAGATACCTATAGAATGTTAACAAACATCATTTCCCAGAGCACTTTTCGCCAATTTTCGGAGATGGGGATCATCTCCAACCCTGGGTTTGGTGCCCGTAACATCCCGTTGCTGCGAAAATTGGCTGGAGAAGCATAGTAAAATCTGTAGACTTTCCCTGAAAGCCGAGTGAAAAAATGCCGTCTTGGTCCCCTCAAACTTTCATGGTTCATCAACATTTTTCTCATGACGATGAGTTAGGACCCTGCCCAGTTTTGGAGAACCATATATTCTGGCTGACTTAAAATACTTCACTGGCCTGAAACCAGCTGTTAACATGCGGCCAGCTATGGGGATGATTTCCCTTTCATCCAATCCCCATCATTCCAGTGACATCACAACGTGAAGTCGCAATATTCTTGTAATTCATTCAGATATATCCCATGAATCAAGGATCAATAGTGGTTGTCACTAAATGAATATTATTGAATATTACATTACATCATACGACCATGATATAGCCATTATCATTAGTATATCACTTTCCCATAGATGTTCCAGACATCTCCAAACAGATTATATCTGATATCCAGACATATCTAACTTAGCAATAACTTGATTCAAGACATGTCCCATGGATTTTCCCATAGTCTCCAGACATGGACATGATTCCATGGATTTCCCATGGATTTTACGGATTTCCTGGGCGCTCTCCTGGGCCCCCACGAAGTGGCCACGAAGGAAGCGACCGTTTTGTTCGGTGAGCAGCTCTCGATCGTCAATGGCAACCTGACATGACATCACCCGGGCACTCTTCGTAAGTACATAATTCATTCATATGAATGCATGCATTGTGTTGCAATATTTACATATATACATCCGAATATAGGAATGATATACAATATAACGTTATATATATATATATATACATTAGTTACGATATACATATATATAATATATTGTATATATTATATTATATATATATTATATATATATATATTATTATACATATAACATACATAATATAGGTACGATCATGCTGAGAGCCCAACCCAATTCTCCAACTTTTCGCCTCCAGGTGTCCTGGTGGTCCAGGACTCTTGTCCCGTTATTCTTCGTAGTGATAGGTCACTGGATGAGGGTGGTAATGTTACGTGTATACATATATATATATATGTCTCATCAACACTCAGCCAACACCAAGCACCCAGTCTTTTCTCTGGGGTGCCTCGAAGTTGCTACGAAGAGGCTCTAACTGTACAGCCTAGACCTAGCGCTCAGCTAAGCCTGGGACACGGGTCAAGACCCTCCACAGCACTTTGGCCGGTGCCAGGCGGCCATGCCTCAGGAGGCTGCGGCCTTTTTGGTTTTTGGCTTAAGAGCCTCACCATCGCTCCAAAAAGCCCTCCCCCAGAGGTCGGCACGCCTAAACAAGGTGGTGAAGGGGTGGAGGTGGGAGCCAGATGCTAACGAGCATATCGACATAGCTACGTTGCTACATTCCGCTAGCTAACGCACACTACACTACGACATCACTTGTTGCAATGTCTCATCAACACTCAGCCAACACCAAGCACCCAGTCTTTTCTCTGGGGTGCCTCGAAGTTGCTACGAAGAGGCTCTAACTGTACAGCCTAGACCTAGCGCTCAGCTAAGCCTGGGACACGGGTCAAGACCCTCCACAGCACTTTGGCCGGTGCCAGGCGGCCATACCTCAGGAGGCTGCGGCCTTTTTGGTTTTTGGCTTAAGAGCCTCACCATCCATTCTTTGCAAAAATTTTTGGATAGCCTCATGCCTTTCCAAGTTTTGCTTCCTGGCGTAGCCGTACCTTCAACAAAAAGCGGCTCCACTGCCGCAAGGACCGTTTCTGCTGATGGCTCCAAGAAACCTGAGCAAGCTGGGCAGTGCCCTCGTCGATGTACTGGCGTGCCGTACGGGTGCAGCTCCATCTGCCACGAGTGACAGTAGCATCTAGCGACAGGGTTGTCTGAAAATACCAAGTCGCTCCACCCCTACGAAGACAGTAGGGGGTGTAAGAACTTTCATCAAACCGAAGGTGCACGAGGAGCTCTGAAAAACGCTGCCGGAACTGGTAAGGGCCTTGCTTCCACAGCAGGTCAGATGACGAAGGGATGATAACCGCTCTGGCCATCCGAATTAAGCGGCTGTCCGTGACCAACAGCACCTGAGGGTTCCCTTGTGAGGTCTTACTCCCGGGAAGAACTAAGCTGATGCCTTTGTCCTTCGGGTGAAACACCACGTGCTTGTGGGTGATAGCCAACATCTCGCTGGTGCGGAGCAAGCAATTAAAGCCCAGGGCCAACAGGAGGGCCAGGGTGTCATAGCCCTGATGAAAAGCAACGCCCATGAGCCCTTCAACCAGCTCCCAAGAGGCCGGAACAGCCCGAGAGGGAACATAGCAGCGCTGCCAGTTGCGGAAAAGCTGACTGGCCCTGGGCAACTCCAGTCTCAATTCTGGGTGAAACCTTTTGATCGCAGAAAGGAGGTGTCCAGCATAGGACAAAGGCTCCCCTTCCTGGTAAGAAACATCAATGAATTCGGCAAGCTGCTTGTCAAGGGACCTTGGATTTCGTAGAGGGACGTGGCGCTTTTTCACAAACTTCAAAAACCGATCAATGGACAGTCTGTAGGCTCGCAGAGTTTGAGGACGCAGCCCAGCATACGCCAAACTAAGACGCCGTTTCATGAAGGCGACTGGGCTTATCTGCGAAGTTCCACCTGCTGATCGTCCACAGGGGGAACTGGTACATGTCGCTGCCAAGCAAGTAGGCCGCGCAGCGTCTCAAAACTCTGTTGAGCCTCGGGGAACTGCTTCTGCCTTTGGCAAGACATCCCCTCGTCACCATGCTGTCCAACACATGAAAATAGCGCATCCCATGCTTCAAGCGACCTCTCGACCTCCTCTTGAGGAGGACAGCCACCGCATTGAGCTCGAGCTCATTGATGTGCCTGCTTCCTCAAGGCAAGGGCGTAGGCTTGGCAGAGCTCCCATGGGTACTCGGCCTCCTCTTCCGTGGGGTAAACCAGGGTTCGATCAGGGCGCTGTGTGACCTCGTACCCCAGGAGCCCCTGGTGGCGAGGGCAGTCGCGACTCAGGAACTCCGGCAGCGTAGGGAAGTTGCTGAGGAAGGCGAACCACTTCTCACGCCGCCCTCCAAAGCAACAGCAGCTGCCTACTGAGTACTCCACTCCTTGGCAAGGGTGAATTCCCAGAGCCAAGAGTTGAAAGGGTGCTCCACTGAGATGTACGGCTTGCGGTCCCCTTCTAAGCCTCTTTTGAGGGGCTTAAGGGCCATGCTGTTGGATTGCCGCACCCGAGCCTTCATGTCCGACTTGAGCCACGGAAACCCCATGAGATGCCTGTGATCCCTCACCGGGTGGGGGCCGGGTATGGTGCTGCCGTCCTCCAATGTGATGGGGCGCCCTCTCGCCCGCGAGAACAGCTTGCACTCAGGGGCCCAGTGCTCGGCAACCAGGGCATCATCCGCCATGAGGAGGCTGAGTTCTCTGCGGCCTTGGTCCGTAAACATGTCATTGCCAAAGTGAAGATCATACGGGGCCTGGACTTCGACATGACCCTGAAGTGCAACAGCATGGCTTAGAGGCGCTCGGCGACCGGCAAATCGCTCTCCAAACCGCGGCGGTCTCCACGTTCGCCTGGGACACTCCCCAGCAGCCGAGTGGTCAATGTCCCTGTGCTTGAGGACACAGGCCAGGGAGCAAAAGGCGGCCCCACAGACCACTGGACAAGGATAGACCGCATCCTCGCTCACATGGCCTCCTCAGGGGAGGTCTCCACCATAAGATCAGGACGCCTGAATGCCGTTGCTACAGCAGCTCCTCCTCCGGAGGGTGAAGCGTCCGTGACAGCTATCTCGTCATCCATCACCGCACGAAGGTTGGTGAACATAAGGGGCACCAGCGTGAGCACCAGAAGCACCTCATCCAGCGCTTCGTCCGAGGGCTCCATGGAATAGTCCTGCTCCACACGCCGCTGGATCTCCCAGAAAGTCTCCTGAAGCAAAGAGAACAAAGGGCGCCTGAAACACATCCCGAAGGTGGTTTTTCCAACAACGTGGCGGAGCATAAACTCTGACCACTTCTCCTGCCCCACCAACGAGCCCAACAGGCCCATCAGGCCGCACATCTTGTCACTGGCCAGCCCGTAGCGGCCTGCAGACCCATCAAGTTCTCCCCCTTGCAACGTTCCTTTTGTTGCACCAACCAGGCGTTTTCCATCATTCAAAGGGAGGTTCTTCCCTTGGCAAACCTTCAGGAAACGCTCATGGCGCTCCGACATCTGGCCGCCCAAAGCCTCCGCACAGCCGCGCTCCAAGCGACGTAACTCATCAAAGGAATCCAGGTAGATCACGGTCAAATCATCCGACTTGGGGATGGGCTTGAGCTTTGAGACCTCTGACAACAAGGGCACCTGGGCCTCCTCAAAAACCAAAGTCCTCACAATACCCTGAACCACCGCGACGGAGCTGACCCAGCCCATCGGGAGCACCTGCATAGCAGGGTAAACCTTGATTCCTTTCGGACCTCCAAAGGCCTCTGCATCCACCAACTTGTTGAACCCCATGTACGGGAGCCAAACAGGAGGAATTCGGAATAAGTTGAAGCATGATGTGAAATCCTCGCTGTCCACGAGCCAGTCCTGATCTGCGTCCTGCTCAAAAGGGTGAGTTGGCCCAAGTAGGGGAGGAACCTGTCGTCGCCATCAATGCGCTCCTGGAAGGCGTTGGCCGGAATCAGGTTGGAGATGAACCTCTGAAGTTTCTGAACCTGTCCATCCACCATCTTGAACTTCGGCACACCTCCGGCTCCATTAAGCACTGGCCTCCCATGCTTGTCCTTAAACACATCCTCCGGCTGCAGTGGCGCCATCAAGCCTCTCTTGTGAGCAGCCTGCACCAGCTTGAACCACTCTTCATCCGAAGCCCTGACCTTAGAGACAGGGGGCTTCTCGGGCCACTCATGCAGAGGTAAGAGGCAAGACTTCGGGTCGTTGAGCTTGTCCTTGATGTACGACGGCAAGAAGTCCACCGCGTCTTGCACAGCAGCTTGGCCTTCAGCTGGCCAAGCAGCTATGACCAGATCCGCCACCAGATCCTCCATAAGCAAGATGGGTTCACCTGCATAGTCAAACCGGACCGCAGTCAACTCAGCACTCATTTCTTCAAAAGGAGCGACCTTATGACCAGACTCTTCAAGGTGCCGAACAGCTCCCACGAGGTGCCTCACTGTCACCTTCTGCTGCTCAGTCAACCGACGGGAAGGCATCACTGAAGGCACAGGAGTGGGCCCCGCGCACAAGGCCAGGTAGTTCAGCGAGTTCGCAATGCCAATCACAGCATCAGCAACGGCGGCCTCCTCCTCCAGCAAGAACGTGGCAATCTCCTTCAGGTCCAGCGGGAATAGGTCGTCTTCTCGGATGGTCATAGAGGAAAACTCCGCGGGAGGCACCCCATCAGCCAGACAGACCGAGACAAAACGACCCAACTTTGTTGGCAAATCCCGCATCTGACCCCACACACAACGCAGGAAATCAGCCGGCCCCACAGGAAGGGGAAACTGCCGTTGCCACCGCTTGATCCAGCGGGTAACAAACCTCTCTTGTGCTGCTAGGCGCTCGCCTCCTTCGGCCTCTCCTTGTCTTTGCCTTTTCCCTTTCTCATAGGCAAAAGACCCTATGGTACCAAATGGCCGCTAGGAAACGTCGAGTTCAAAATCTTGGAATTTGATATTAAATAAGTTGTCTGAGAGTCAATATGAGTACATTTTCGGGGTAAACCGTGTTATCATAATGTTAGTGGTTAAATAATCTATTTGAGTCCATTTGAGTTCCCCCTGAGACTGTTAGAGCTTCCATTGAACCTCTTTGAGATTATTGCATTCTGTGCTGCTAAAAATGTAAATGAGTAAAATCGAGTGACTTCGAAAGAAGTTGAGGTAATTTATGTTGCCCAAAAAATAACACTGAAACAGCACTTCGAAAGAAATTGAGGTGATTTGAGAAACCCCACCCCCAACAAAAACTGCGTTTATTTTGTTGATA